GTTCGATAAACTGATCGGACTTGGTGTTGCTGAGCAATGCTATTGTGACGGTCGTTCGACCGTCGTCAGTATGATGAAAGGAATCCAATGATTCGTTCTCGAGCTTTCGTCTACGTTAGATAAAATATAAAATACCCACGCAATAATACTACCGCATAACGAGAAGGACGTCATTAAAACGTTTCGTTTCGACTCGATTGACTGCTCCAAAGCTAAAGTGTTCTTTTTCGCCGCGATACTGTAGGATATACTGTGAAGTGCATTATTTCTTTTTTAAAAGCAAGTATACTATACAGATTGATCAATAGACCATAGTATTTGAGCATCCTGGATGCATGTGGCCGACGGCAGCATTGTTCCCGTTTGAGCAGCAGAGCACCCCAATCGCCCAAAATGATGAAGAAAAGCGTCGTCAGCCAAAAGGAGCCAGATACAGGATGTTCCGACCGAGGAGTACTGGATAAGAAGACCAGGTAATCTTGCCTGCAATCTCATCTATACTAGCAATCATCGCTTCTGACTAAGACAACGTTATGAGGCAGGACTCAGCCAAGATTCATCCATTCTGATCACCAACTTTGCGATCGTTGTCGTGACTGACCTGATTCCCTGATCCCATGGAATACTGTAGATACTGTAGAGGAGCTGGAATGTGTGACGCGTTGCCGTCTCCTTTTTTGCCTAACAACACCGTCCGAATGCTCTGTGGAGAGAACGATTTTTGGTGGGTTTTACAGGTGTGTCGTTATGTCGAGCAATCTTCTGATCGAGAATACTTCTCCACTGGCAACTCGTCATCCACTCAGTTTCGACGCGACTTCAAAATAAAAACAAGAAGGGTACCAGGGGGGTTGAGATCTCTAACATCTAACGCATTAGGAAAACGGGTCTTTTGGATACTTACGAGGAAGGATCTTCTGACAACTCGTCTGATCGAAGGTGGGGCAACTTTGGCACGATTTCAGGGCCAGGGCTCGGGTTTTGCGACTTTTGAGAGAGGAAGGACCGATGAGATATGAAGGGTGTAGGGATAGCATCAATTGAAAATATAGAATATACGTAATATTGTTATTATCATTGGTTCTATAGAGCGTATTGTTTGTAAGTCGGGGCAGCATGGAAAGAAGTGTGGTGAACAGCCGATGATTCATGCGTATGCTCGTCTGTCTGCACTCATTCCCATCAAGAAGCTTGCATTGACAGAGCAGTGTTGGCTCATGATATGTACAGGATGAACCAATTCGTTATTGTAGACAAAGAAGTCTTCTTCTTCCAAAGTATTCTGCCAAATCATACCTTCGGATGCGAATTCGAGGTAGTTTCGCTGCATACTTTCCTCTTCCTCTTTAGCGTTTGTCCAGATCGCTTGCTTCATATCCTCCGAGTAGGCGTTGCGACTGGGAATGGGATGGACTACCACGTAGTTGTCAAAGGATACAGACGTGGCAGTGGAGGTTGAGTTCTCTGATAGCGAGAGCGACCTTTGTCGTTGCAGAGGAGCAAATGCTGAAGGGCCATGATTCTCGTCTTCACCATCACTACCCTTGAGCGGCTGGAACTGGATTTCGACAGGCCGACCTCCTAGTCTTCGCAATTGTCTTTGCTTCGGACTTCCTTTGGACGATTGGGTCGTATCTATCGTGGTTCCGATGGAACAAGTCTCGTCGGAAAACGAAGTACTATCTGCTGATGTTGAACTACTCGAATCCACCACTCCCAACTTATGGAGGTAGCGAGATCGGATTCTCTTGGACGCTTGGTCATTGCTTCGCTTGAATGACATCAGTCTTGTGCGTGGAGCTGGAGATGATTCAGTGACTGTGGTGGGTCCTGCTGTTTTGTTTAGAAGCATCATGTTTTTGGATATGGATTCTTTGGATTTTGATTTGGAATGTTTGTTTCGTTTGATAAAGTTTGGTGTTGTTTTTTATGGCACCAACATTGATCCCATGGATTATTGTCATTGATCATTCCAATTGCCGTCTCCTCTCAGCAACCCCCCAAGGCTTCGTTTGTGCGGTGCAAATATGTTTCTTTACTGTCAATAAACTTCTGATCAAGATCTGAGACGCAAATTGACTACTCCGATTACATGGAATGGATATCCTACAAAAACGAAAGAAAGAATTATGGTGGATTGCCGCCAGCATTACATCGCACCACTGCTCAAAGACATATCCATTGACTTGCTTCTATGCATCCTATTCTTCTGATCAAGATCTTTTCTGGCGCAGTCGACATATGCAAAGACAAGTGTGCGTAGATAGTGGTGGCATCAAGTGAGAGATCTGATTCCTGATATACCGGTGTGCATGCTGGTATACGAAAAGGTGCCTGGAATGCTAGTACTGCATCAGCACTCGCCAATTCTTCTGATCAAGAGGGATTTGACTTTCCCGATTTCGGCCAACATTGGAAGATCGACGATGAAAGATACCATACCAACCATAGTGTGAAGAAAGTAATAATGGCGAATTGCCGTCTCCATCCAACTACATCGCACCAATATAATTGACGAGTGCTTGAAAGACGTCTTCAGTGACTTGTGTATTATAATATTCATGTGGTACCTATGATAGATCTAGTATAAAATCTTCTGATCAGGATAGATGGATCTTCTGATGAGACGCAGGTTCCGACTGACTCGATTTCTTTAGTGCGGTTGGATATACAGCTGCACGACTCGTGAGGTGCTGTGTCGAGAAATAAAGAGGAGGAATTGTATCAAGCAAAAGAATGGCAACTATCGTACAGCTCGTCGTGAGATTAGTGGAGTAGTGTATATTTAAAATGTTACAGCTGTTGGTACAGATCGTGTTGTATATCAGGAGTGGGTCGAGCCGATGATTGGTTCATTCATTCACTCGTAGGCTCGTCTCGCACTCATTCCCATTAGGAAATTTTGTTTCAGAGAGCAGTGGCGGTTCATGATATGTACAGGATGAACCAATTCGTTATTGTATTCAAAGAAATCTTCTTCTTCCAAAGTGTTCTGCCACTGCATGCCTTCGGATGCGAACTCTAGGTAATTTCGCATCACTTCTATTTCTGCTTCTTCTTGGTTTGTCCAGATTGCTTGTTTCATATCTTCCGAATAGGCGTCAAGATTAGGAATGGGATGGACCACCACGTATTGCTCGAAGGATACAGAAGAGGAAGTGGAGGTTTCAGATGCTAGCGAGAGTGTCCTTAGCATGTGAGGACCTGATAGGTCATTCTCATCTTCTCCATCACTGCCCTTCAGAGCTTCAAACTGGATTTCATCAGGCCGACTCGTCCTTCTCACATGTTTTCGCTCTGGACTTCCTTTGGTTTGTAGGGTATCCATCGACGCCGTGGTTTCCACCGAGAACTCATCATCGCATGACATGGAACCCGAACCTGAACTAGACGAATCAACAACTCCCAATTTATGAAGGTAGCGCGATCGAATTCTCCTTGAAGCTTGGTCATTACTGCGCTTGAAAGACATCATTCTTGGACGTGACGGTGAGGAAAGGGTTGCCATGGTGGGTCTTGTTTCGTTGAGAAGCATCATCTTTCTTTTGTGAGTTTTTGGAATTGTTCTGTTTTATGAAGTTCGGCCCTGCTTTTTTGTGATGTAGTAAATTGAATGTCCCAAAATGTCAATCGATCAGCAGTTTTCCGCTCGGAATTGATATCTGGCATTACTTCGGTCAAAAAACAGTGTTTACATTTATAAGGGCGAACTCAGAACTTCACTGACGACGAATTGGCTGCTTGTGATTCGTGAAGACTGCTTGAAAATACACGGCATTTTTCGCGGAATTACCTTGTTAATTAAATGAACATGCCCTTTCCATTCGCTTGTCAGAAGTTGGACAAAGTTCTCGGAACTTCCGTAGGACAGAACTCGAAATTCTGATTGTTCTTTGATTTACGAATAACAGCCGCCGAACCCTTCTGATTCCTGATTGATTCATTCATTCGTTCGTGCGTGTCTGATCGGCGAAGAGAATTTCGTATCTTTCAGACGCGTCTGTTGACTAGATCGACCAATAAAAATCGAAGCAGACAATCGTGCGTGCGTGCCGTTTCTGTGAGAGCATACTATGGATACCTTTCAGACAAGGGGACACACAATACTTACCTACTTACATTATTGGCACGATAGGTTGAGAACCCAGTAGCGTGAATGTTGCATTATTCATACCTGAAACGGTTACTCCGAACAAGATGCTGCATTGCTTCTACCTAATAGAATGCATAGGACTACCTGGTTGGTTTTCTGCATTCCCTAAAATTCTAAATGTTTTAAAAATGTTCATTGTCTATGCCCACCATTCTCGATAGGTTGTGTAAGATGATGTCCCACACCATGATAAGTTCCCCTTGTTGTAAACCCAGGTTGCTTTCCCGTTTCCCAGTGTATCTGAGGTTGAATATAGATACATGTAGTATTAATAATGTACAAAATGTCCGGTTTCGTTCAACTTTCTCCGTTCCACAAGCTCCTGTTGTGGCTTAGACATCGGATTCCCGTTGAGCGTACATGGTCATCAAAAATTGACGTTGCATATTGCAAGTCTGTCCCTGAAAGTGTACAGGATGAACGAGTTCATTCTCGTAAAGAAGAAACTCAGATTCTTCCGTGGCATTTTCCCAGTTCCATCCATCGGCTGCGTATTCCATGCAGTTTCGGTGGAACAGCTCTTCAAATTCTTCTTTTTGAATCCAAAGATCTTGTCGATTGTCATATTGATTTCGATCAGGAATGCAACGAATCGACACCAGTGTCTTGAAGGATACGCTTGGTGCGGTCAACGGCGCTGCTTTAGGTTTCGAATTTTTAGTTTTCAGAATCCCAATCACCTTCTCCTGAATCTTGTTACTTGTGTTTATTTGAGCTTTAGTCGGAGAAGAAGAACTACCGGCTAACCCTAGCTTGGAAAGATAGCGATGCCTGATGTGACAAGAGGCTGAAGGAGACGAGCTAACAAGGGCTGGCTTTCGCAAGGCTGGAGAAGCTGGTCGTCTGAAAGTTTGTTTCGCTCCTGAATGCGAATGATTCTGTGATGTTTGCAAGCCAAGTTTTTCAGTCTTACCAGCACTCGTAGTTGCGCTATCCAGTGATTCATCGTCCGCTGATGCTTTTGGTGTATACTTCGAGGAATTGGCTGTGGAAACCCCCATGGTTGAGAATGCTTATATGTTAGATCCTCTTCACCTGCATCTCAGAATCGAAAATGTGACCGAATCTTGTATGGCAAACGGTTCGGTATTGGTGCAAAGTGTTTCGTGCAAATACAAATGTTAGTAGGAGTGTGACGAGTCGGTTTTTCAGTCTGATCGAGTCCTCGGTGTGTCTGATCTGTCTGATCAAATAAGATCAGTCAAAATAGAGCCTTGTGATTGGTTCAAAATAGGGTTCTTTCTTACACGGTCAGCGAGTGACTAAAATACGTAAAAAATAGTACCAATTCTGCGCAAACGTTGCAGTGAAAAATCCAAAATTCTCATGTTCGTTCGGTAGTAGATTGACACCTCAACCGACGTGTTCTGAATGTGTCCATGGATGATTCGACCATTTTTTGCTTCTCCGATTGGTTTCGATGCTCTGACGAATCCTGACAAATCCTGACGATATCCCAAAGTTGTCAAGTCAATGGATGATGTGGCGAGTAGTGATTGACGGCCAAGAGGCAAAAGCATCAAGGATTGCATTTTCAGCAGTTGGTTCATTTATTAATGCTTTTGCTTATTATCTGTACTCGTAATATGCTGCTACAGTACAGTAGTGCACTAGCTCCTAGTAGTACTACTACCACTAGACGAAAGAATTGCTGCAACCATCAAGGCCACGTTGCAAAGCGATTTTTAGCTACACCGATTTAGCACCATCGATAGAATGAATAAATGGTGTCGTCATCAAGACTTGCTTTGGCATTCTACCAATTTAACAGAGCACCAATATAGTATGAGCTTTCCAGCAGTACTGTACGATTATTCTTGGTCCGATATAACCTTGTTTTGGGGGCTTGTGGTCCATTTCCCCCAAGATTGAAGCATAAGAGGGGGCGATTTGTCAATCTGTTATTTATAGAACGCACATCTAATATGAAATAGCGGATATCCCCTCTGTCCAAATTGCAGATCGCTTTGCATGGAACAAGGCATTGCCGTTGACAATGGCAACCTTTGAAGAGCCAATTGGCCCACTGGCTGATCTCGTAGGTATAAAGCTCGCTCATCCGTTGATGCGTCGAAGTCTGCCTCTTTCAGCCATGTCATCTTACGCTATCTTTCTGTTGTGAAAAACTTGATTGACCACCAATTGTAGTCCGAACTTTTGTATGTCGTTGCCCTTCATCAAGCTGAAATCGAATATAGAGAAGATGTTTCTGTGAATGCAGTGGATATCTCGCTATTCTTAATATCAAGATACGGTGTGCAATGTTCACCTGAAAATGTGGAAAACATCATTTTGAAAGATGTCGCAGGAAAGAAGAATGGCAACGTCCTCGTCACCCAACAAGGTGATGCCAACCAAGGATCCCCTGAAACCAAACATGAATCAATGGCAGAAGACATGTCCATCTTTTTGCGTTCCAAGTTTGGGGTAACCATCCAGGCTGAGGATCTGAAGAAGCTATTGGCGGATGAGAAGCTGACTCGGATCAAGGATGAGGAGATTCAAGCCGTGGAACAACCAAAGGACCAAGTTAAGAAGGACTCCAGTTCTTCCGAAGTCCAAAAGTCAGCAGACGAAAATGATGACATACAAAAAATGGATTTGATGGAGCTAGTGGCCATGCTAATGATACCTGAGTTCAGAAAGTTGCAGCTTTCGAAGAGTGAGGGTTCTGCCTATAAGTCTTCTGAGAGTTTTGATTTTGTCGTCAATACCATCATTCATGATTTGGCTAGCTTTGGTAGTTCGAAACAACCAAGTCTTGAGGTTACACCGTCAATGGTTCGGGACCTCTTTCTGCGCTATGGAGAAAATACCTTGGCCCAAGACAAGGAATTGATTGAAGAAATGGTAAAGGCAGCAAGAACAGGCTTGGACGACAATGCCAAGGCCTTCTTGGACAGCAGTACTTTTACCAAGGCACTTACGCAGGATATTCAGCACTACAATGTTGACTCGGAAGGATCTATTTCGACGAACTATGCCGATGTTTTTGGCAACCAAAATATCACAAAGGAAGCGGATGAAACAGGATTTGTATCCAAATCAACAGCGGAAACCATCGACTTGGTAGCCCACACCTACTTTTGCCGGATACAAATGATGCTGAACTGGTTGTTCTTTGTTTTTACTTACTTTGCATACATTTACGGTATGACTCCATCCTTCTCGAAGAATTGTGGAAGGTTCGAATTCATGTCGAGTTGGCCAGAGAACAAACCACAGGCTGGGTGCAATATTGCAAACAGTATCTTGGATTGGTTGATTATCTTTGGATTGAGTAAGTAACACGCACGCACACACACACACAAAAACACAATCACTTATGTTGTGGCAGCGCAAAAATGTGAAGAGATGTACTAACAAAATCCCACGATTGCAGTTTCTGTCGCTGGTATGCTCTTTGTTGGTCTTGGGTCCATTGGAAACAATCTCAAACAGCACCACTTGGGACCATCTCTCTTTGCCATGGCGTTCCTGATCTTTCTGACAGTATACTTTCCGCTGACGTATGGCCTCGTCGTTCCGGGCAAAGAACCTTCCACTTTCATCAGACTGGTAGCACTAGCAATGGGATTCATGACAACACTTGCCCGGCTACGGCTGATGGCGATCGCCTGCTTGACGAGTGTAAATCCCTCAATAGTACCTTTCACTTCGCTGAAGTCTGAAGCGGCGATCAAGAATTCTTCGGCACTGAAAGTTGGTAAGCTTCAAGAGAACGCATTTGCGGTTCACGAAAAGTTGACGGAATCGAGCGCCATTCGGAGCTATTTTGGACAGGCGCTTTCCAATTTTTCCAAGCTAGATCCGCAATATAGAAAGCGCTTCAATGGGGATAAATGTCGACAAGACTTCATGTCTGGGAGAATCGTCAACGAAGATGGAATTTTCCTCAGTGGTCGACTCTTGTCTGGAAATTTGGCACAATTGCTTTTGTGTGTAGCCATTATGGGTTTCGGCGTCACTGCTACCCGATATGTGCGTGACAATTTTATTCCAATGGATGAGAGGGAGAATAAGGTGGCTGAAAGCCTTGAGGCGGTGATATCACTTGCCGCAGATCAATCGTTAGTCCAAGAAGCTGTTGATCGAACGCTCAAGATTGTTGTTCTGTATGTGGTCCGAGTCCTATACTTTCTTGACAATGCAGGCTTGTTGCGGCTCGATTGTATTCTTTTGTCAACCTTCCTGCAAACTTTTTGTGAGAGAGCATTCTATGATGACGAAGATGATGGTGATTTTGCATGTTCCCTGTTCTCCAGTGCTCCGGAACAGCTTTGTGAGAGCCTTGACCCCATCTTTAGACCCACGACCCCTCTGGGCAAAGCGGTGGAGTTTGACGGTTTTGTATCTGTCATCAACACTACAAGTCTTGTCGATCCATTTGCCAAAGCAGTATCAGAGGCAATGTCTGGCAACATTGCATCCCAAATCAACATTCTTTACCCACGGCACAGGGATATGGTAGTGGTACCGGTCGCAGTCGCAGCCGGAGTCGCGACACTCTGTTCACTAGTAATCACCATGCTCTTCCTTCTTTCCATCACGGCGACTACTCTCAAGCTGAGAACTGGAGTCATTCAGTCTGTCTGTGATCCAAACATGAGACGGCTATACACACTCAATGCGAATAGTGGCAACCAAATATTTGGAAGCATGTTTTGGGGGATCATCGCATCCAGTGTGCTAGTTGGTGGCATTGTTGGCTTTGTTGTGTTCATTTCCATGTGGCAAGTCACTGCGTACTTGATGATGCAAGCGGTCGCACTGTGTATTGGCATCTCCGCTACCTTATTCTTCAAATGGTTAATCAAGAGGACCTGTCGCAGTAAGCTCTACCGAGGATTCTATCGGAACAATCCGCTTCGTGCCAACCTTGCCGAGTTGGTGAATGAATCCTTCAATTTTGCCACCAGCATGGCATTTGCAGTCATTCGAATGTTCAAGTTACTCTTTCTGGCTGCTTTTTACGTAGGTCGGATCGATACCAAGTTTCTCGCCCCCTCCGCCAACAAGTTCCTCGGAGGCAAAGTGCACATTGACATTTTCCCAGATTTTTTCATAGCTGACATTTTGTCTACCGAGGCACACCGCCATCCATACATGGAACGCTTGGGCACCATGTATCTGTACAAGCTCAAGTATGGTGCAGAATTTGCGACGCGAGCTGGGTCTGCGTGGAGGCTCTTGTTTGTGACGGCGCTGATGCCATGGTTGCAAAAGTATCGCATAGCTTCCCGACGAATGATCAAGGAAGAGTCAGGTAGCGTCCATTCCGCCTAAAGGGCTGCTCACATCCAAAAGCACTGTTTAAAAAAGTTGGATGAAGTCAATTGGAAATAAATTTTAGCCTCGAGCAGATGGTTGATGAGATCAATCAGTGCCAGCAATGTTCGAGTGCACTCCGGCAGAAACGGTCCCTATTTTTCTTGTTGAACTATGAGATTATCGGGATACCTTGTAGAGACAGCCGAAAGAATTGATTGCATGCGAGTCAGATTGTTGTAACTTAAAGTCGTTATTATGTAATATTAGCTACAGGGGTGGCTCAGTCAGTGTCATATTGAAAACTTGAGAATTTGCATCATGCATCTCGTGCCGTTGATTGATTCGTTCATCGTGGGGTCGTTCTCTGGAGCCGGGAGGCCCTAACACAGCTGAAATAAATAGCTACATGCCCTTCTGCGTCCGGTAGCTGTAGCTGGTAATCATGTGTGTACCATCTACAGGCGGTGGCTCGGTCATTTGTCATGTTGGAGACTTGGGAAATCCGAATCATCCTCTTGTTCTCAGCAGCAGTTTGTGAATGATTCCTTCATCTATCCATTCATCCATCGACTTTTGGTGTCCAACCAATTACTTTCTCTCGTTCATCTGCCTGTTCGTTCAAAAAAACGGAACACATGGTTGGTGAGCCAATGACTTCTAGCATCAACAAATCACATGGAAAATTCAAAAGATGTCTGCAGACCCTAATTATGTGACAAATGATGGTGATAAAGGTATCACGCATTTGAACATACTCAAAATGGTTGCAAATTCTTATAGCGTCCCTTAGTAAGAAGATATTACCACTGACTTGGAGCCCGGAAATTATGGTTCAACCTCAAACACTCAAAACGCGTGATCTCGTTTCCGAGTCCAACAAGCGTTTCGAATGCCTGACATTGAGAATCTCAACAGACTCCAAACGATAATCCTCTGTCGCAAATAGGAACGCGAGAAACGTAACAAAGGTATAGTTTCACTTACAAATCAAATCATGGGCGGAACAAGGATACGGAACACCATCATGCTGCATGATGCATGGCTTCCATCTTTTTTGTACGATGCGATCTTGGTTCTGAGGAATGGGTCATGAGCTCACCATATTCGACCCTTTCGATCGACCCATCATGAAACTTCTGGATACGCAATAAAAGTTCTTCAGATGATGATGTCAGAACCTTTGGAGTAGTTCAAAAGTTCTTGTGAATGATGGCATGGATACTGTATAAGATCCCAACATCTGCATCCATCAGGTAATAGACAATCATGGACATTGACGAGTCGTCACTGCATACTACGAGTCAAACACCGCCGCAGGTTTACTTCATCTATTTTGGGCAAGCAAAAGAAGATATTCCACGCAATATCACTCATGTGACCATTGATCCTTCTGTTTCCAAGATTCATGATTATGCCTTTCAAGATTGCCATTTGTTGGCGAGCGTTCAGTTTCATGATCATCTACAAGAAATTGGAGACTCGGCCTTTCAGCGATGCCGATCCTTGACATTGGCTGCTGGTGGTCGCGGTGGTCTGATTCCTTCTACTGTCAAAGTGATTGGTCAATTGGCCTTTTCGGAATGTTCTCGTCTCCAAGACAACCTCGTGCTTCCACATGGTCTGAGATCCATTCGGTTTCTAAGCTTTGCTTGGTGCGAGTCTCTGACCCAAATATCAATCCCAAAAACAGTGGAGAACATTGACATGGAGGCAATGATTGGGTGTTCCGCACTTTTGGAAGTTCAGCTGGAAAAAGGTCTCCTTTCAATTGGTTCCCACGCCTTTAGTAACTGTGTGTCGCTGACAACCATGACGCTACCTTCGTCTCTGACGACACTCGGCGAAGGGGCTTTTAATTATAGCCTTGCCTTGACCGAAATCAAATTATCGCAGGCACTCCAAGCAATCGAGCACAATACCTTTTCTTGGTGTCGGTCCTTACTGGAGATCTCTATTCCAAATTCGGTCCAGACTCTGGGCAATGGAGCCTTTTTCAACTGTACAAGTTTGCGAGATGCATTTCTTTGTGAGGGACTCATCTCGATTCAGAGACGGGCCTTCCATACATGTACCTCTTTGAGAAAAGTGCATGTCCCATCGACTGTATCCTTCATTGGCGACGACGCCTTTTACAAATGTCAGTCGTTGACCGATGTTCGACTACCCCAATATTTGGCATCCATTGGTGACAAGGTCTTTTGGAATTGTGCGGCTCTCCGCAGTATTGAAATACCCGAGACGGTGGGACGGATTGGCGACGAAGCCTTTTTCTTTTGTACGTCGTTGGTGGATGTCAGTTTCCCAGTAGGTGTCCGAACCATTGGCACTCGGGCATTCGGAAATTGTGAAGCCTTGTCCGCCATTTCCTTGCCATCCAGCCTTACCATGATTGCACCAAGGGCCTTTGCAATGTGCAGCAGTCTGCTTTGTGTCGAATTTCCAGCAGACGGCATGGAACGAGTGACCATTGGAGAGTTTTGCTTTGATGGATGCAATTCCTTGGTAACATTGTCCATGCCGCCTTCTTCTGTGTGGGAATCAACTTCTCTCATGACATGTGCCGCATTGATGGATCTGCGCTTTGGACTCGAGTCGGACCTGCTTCAGAAACAAATGGAACAGAAACTGCAGTCGCTTCGCGGTCGATTTGACAACCTTCCAGTCCATCTGGTCTGTTATCATTCGTCGAGAACAACGGTTCAAGACGTGGAACGAGTATTGGATGGAATTGGTAATATATTTGATGACAGTGAACAGCATTATGATAATTGGAAAGATTCGTATGGTTTGACACCGTTCCACATTCTTGCCACGTCTGTAAAGCCAAGTGTTGAGATGTTGAGTTGCCTACTGGACCATTGCCCGGATAACACTGTGCAATGTCTGACTCCAACGGACAATCAAGGCTTGACCATGATGGATTACTTGCTCTTGCATACCTCAGATGCGGTATTCCCGTTGATACAAGTCGTCCTTAATCGATTGTTAGTCCATGAAATGTCCAAATGGGGCCTGGAACGATGGAGCATGGAGGTATCCTTTTGCGTGAACGTTGATTCCAATTCAGCAGGTTCTCATGACAATGAGACCAAACTTGCAAATGTGAAAAGAGTACTCGTACTTTTGGGATACTATTTGCGGGTCGAAATGACATCCTTGGCAGAGCTGGCAGTTTGGAAGAAAAATATCCAAGAAGTATCGTCATCATCATCATCATCATCCCAACTGGAGCTACTACATCAGTCTGACGATGATGACGACGACGACGACGACGATGAAGTGGTGGAAGAACATAGAAGCTCCTGTCGATGGCAGTCTGGTGTAGAAGTAGTCCTTCAGAATGTGATTGGATTCCTATGGGAGAAGAATCAGGAAGAACCACGAGCGACTTGTCCTGAAACTGCTGTTTCTATTTATCCTCTGCTGTCATTGCAAAAGATGGAGGATGCCATGGCTGGCATGCAATAGTTTGAAAGCTACAGCAGTAGCAGAGCCGAGATGCGGCCAAAAATAGGGCAGCTACTCTCATGGTACCTGAACTCGGATAGATGTGTTTTGTTCACTCAGGCGATTATTTATTCAGGAGAATGAATCAATCTATCCAAGACTACCTATTCACAGTTGTCTGATAGCAGTAACGTAACTATTTTATTAGCAATGAAATGCATCACAGTTATAAAATGATCTCACAACATACACCCACACACACACCCAAGTGCTATCATACTCGAAATGGATCAAATAGAACAACACATGATTCTTATTGTCCTTTTTTTAATCGCGAACAATACTTGGCAATTCAGGAGCCTCTTTCAAAACACCAAATTCTGGCAAGATTTGTACAAAGCAGCAAGCACAGACTGGTTCTTTGACGTGGTCGTCGTCAAAAGGGAAGGATTGCGCTTGCTTGCAGCATAGACAGTTGGAGGCTCCCTGGCAAAGCACCTCGGGGTACTTGAGTCCGCACTGACAGCAGTACACTTTGGTGTCACAGATATTACCAGTGGATCGTCCAGCCTTGGCAGCAGCAAAGTTGACCATGGACTTTTCAAAACCAACCCCGTATCCTTCGTCGCCAGGGACAATGCAGCAGTCGTTGGTGCAACACAAACATTCGTTGTGTTCCTTCAACACAATCATAATGTTCTTGGGGTCAAGGGCGGTGTAGCAAATACCGCAAGCGCTGAACATGTATCCTGGCATGGTGAAGTGTTTGTTTGTTTGTGTGTGTGTTTTTTAAAAGTAGAATGTAAGGAAAGACAAGTAAGTCTAGAGTAATAATGAAGCGGTACAAGCGGAAGCTGTTTCAATCGCAACCACAAGATGAGTGTGTTTCTGTTGATGAAGAAATCTTTTAGGTCCGAGTTCGGATGGTGTCATATATCACAGAATAAAAGTCTCAAAATTGCGAAACGGACACGCAGCTTCAACGCAGAGAGTCTAAGTAGGTTACGCCAGCGTGTCATCTTTGTTATTGCTTTCCGTTGAGAAATTTGGAAAACAGTCGCATGACTGACAGGTGATATTTTGGGGTCACGAATTTCCAAAATCTGATGATTTGCCCGGTACCGGTACCGTATCACCGTACTGTACCTTATTAGTCTTTTATTTACTTCACCACTCTTTTCGCTATGCACATTGGGTTTCTTATAGTTCTTAAAAAGGAATGGATTGGTTCAGCTCACCACATAACAGTTTCTAGCTGATGGCTAATGTTTAATTTTGAAACTCTCCTCTTTTCTTAGGATCTGAATTATAATTCTGTCCTGAATGATTCTGAATCATGATTCACCTGCATCCCACTGCTTTGCATCCAATCTTACTTATCTCCATCCACGGTAAATTATCATTCCATTCCATTACGATTCCTTATCCTTCTTGTCATTTTCATCGCCTTTTAACATTTTGACAATCTGTCGAATAATCAACAGTCCCCAATGCATTTGGAGGCCGGTAAACAAGAAACAGGCCACAAATATCCCATAGAGTGCTGGATCGGACTCGGCCTTGGCCGCTTGGAAAAAGTCTAACAAACAAGTGGAAATGGCCACATAGGGAAAGTAGACGAACCGAAAGAGCAAAAAGAGGATCGCAAAGAGGATCCGTGCCACTTCGTTGATGGAATTGAGAATCGTGCCAATTGTCGACTTTTTCTTTAGCTCTTCTTGCAAAAAGTCAAACCAATGTTTGTGTTTGGGATGAAAAATATCGACGTAAGATAGTGGAATGGAGGACGCTTCAATGACACCCAGAAAGAAGGGCGCATAATAGGACCCCCGTGGTGCTTGCGACAAACACAAATTGCCCATGACGACTCCCGCCACAAAGAGCATGCCAATGTGATGGACCAACATGAGCGGATCTCGTAATGCTGGAGTGGCCAATCCCACTGGAATGTCCCAATACAACAAGAATCCAAAGACGACCTTGGCCAATTGGATACCGTCGGGTACAAGTACATGAATGCGGCCTTCTGATTCTGCTGTCTCATTGTGAAGGAACCAAGTGAGGCATCCTTGATAGGTAATATATGTCATCAAAGGCAGTGCCAGGACTTGATGTGCCGTATGGCTGGGCATCTTCTTCCAAGGACCTTGAGGAGCATAATGCGCAAAGACTCCGAAGAGCAGGAGGTGAATTGTAAGGCAAATCATTCCCGATTGAACCACCAAGGGATCCGTTGTCGCTGCAAGAAAGCCATTCATTATGGATTATGTGTGTGTGCTTATTTATGTGTATTGTATATGTATATTTGTTGAGCTGGTAGATGGAAAGCTTATTGACGCCAATTGTCACGGCGTCGTCGTTAGCAATCTCTTATTCTGCTGCATTGTGTGTTTTGAAAATGACGATGACGATTGTGTGCGGATGGACACATGATGCATAAATACTCCCAGAGAATTTCTATACTGACACGAAAGTTCGGCGACATTCCGGACACACCGACAGACCAAAGATACAGAAAACGCAAAATAAAACGCATGAAAAATCTTGCAACTCGACCATCATCATTGAATCCTACTGTATCACATCGCGTGTCACATCTCTCAACATGCGATGGATTGTGATAATCACTGCAATAACCAGCGTGTTTGTCGCTTTACGGTCCACCATTTTGCAGCATGCTGACCATTTTATTTTATCAGCACTGAAAAGAAGAACGGCAACGCCACTGCTTCGTAGTAGTAATGGTGATGATGACATTATTGTTGATGACTACTGCTTGACGTCTGTGGATTGTGCCATGAATGGCGAATGCATCCGTCACTCCAAAGATCGCCAATCACCTGGCAAGTGTCAATGTTTTGACGGATGGAGAGGAACGACTTGTGAAGTATTGGATTTGTTGCCCATTGCTCCTCAAACGGCTGGATTGCAATTGCCCAATCATGCAAGTTCGTGGGGAGGATCAGTGGTGTATGTGGATGGAAAATACCATATGTTTGCCTCGGAAATTGTAAACGGATGTGGTTTGGGCTATTGGACAACTAATTCCCAAGTGATTCGCGCCGTCAGTGACCATCCAAATGGTCCATATGTGAAACAAGAAGTCATTTTGCCAACCTTTTCACACGATGCCAATGTTCTACAAAGAGGTCCCAATGGTGAAATCGTCTTGTTTGTGACTGCCTTGCTAGGGGTGAAACCAGTAGATTGCGACAACAATGATTCATCATCCTGGCAATGGAACAATGCAGTAGTCCCAAATACGACGGCACCACCCAAAGACACCTACATGTTGTGGGCAAAACATCCAACAGGCCCTTGGAGTGAACCCGTATTAGTATTGAATTCTACCATTTGGAATGAAGACTATTGGGCCAAGAATCATCGGTTTGCTCATTGCGATGCCAACTTGAATGGCATATTGAGGCACGATGGGAGTTTCTTGGGACTCTGGAGAAAATGCGAAACTCCTGACCTCTTGACGGTTCCTCATACTCTGTATGCCAGCGATTGGAAGGACGCTAGTACCTATCAACCTAGCATTGATCCGCTCTTTGTTTTAACGGGGTCTGGAGCAGAAGATCCCAGCAACATTTGGACTACCGAGACGAGCGATGCTGGGGTGGCCTATCACGCCATTTTTCATGACGAACAAGCAACACGATGCATGTTGGGAGAATGTCCCAATGTAGGACGACATGCCTTTTCGATGGACGGAAAGGCGTGGTCGTACAGCAAGGTCAATGCGTACAATGGGACTGTTTTGTTTCAGAATGGGACAACATGGACTGCCGATACCCGTGCTCGTCCTCATTTGATTGTCCGAGACAATCAACTGCTTGCTTTATCGACTGGGTTGAAACCAACAAAAGAGTCGGGGTATGTCTGGACTCTGGTGCAGCCTTTGCGACATGAAACGGAAATGAAGGATGTCTAGTAGGCGGTGTAATGATTCGATTCACTGCCCTGTACAACATACGCAAGCCTTCAGTTTGTTTCAGACAACGAAGGCGAGAGCCGAAATTGTTGTCACACTGCCACTCTGGTAGAACTCGATTTGAATCCAGCAATTTCTTCAGAAGAAAACTGTATCCTATGGTGTTTCAATGACAATTATAATTTCTTATGAGCTTCTTGTAACGAGAAATAGCCAAAGAAAGTCCATGGTTCGACGGTCTATGTCTCAGAAGGCTCAATTAAGCCAAGGCATGTCTGTTACCACTAGAGGTAGATTGAGTTATTATGCTTTAAGGTAACAATCGTAGGCGAAAAGACCGCGGGGTATTTCTACTTCAGAATGTGAATATGTGCTTGGGGTGTTTGATTCCATTATGTTGATGAATGTTCTCAAGCCAATAGCTCGAGTTTCTCGCCCATGTGGGGCACCTAGCGAGCTCTCCATCCGTGCTCGCTATCTTCGCTGTTGGCAGCAAACTCGTGGTAAATCGTGATGGTTGGCATTTCAGGCTGTCTCACTTTAATTTCCTTTTGGCTTCCAAAGAAAATGAGTTTCGTCCAATAGTCGGATTTGCTCATCTGTAAGTGGATCATATTTGCCATTACGACTTTGGCGTTGACGGGTGATCCAATAATACAGGCTGTCGCCATACTCCACATTCAGATGTCCATGTGTCTCGTAAAAGTCGGCTAGGGTCTGGTATGTCCTCTCCCAGGCTTTTCCACAAGGACCTTTTTTTGGAGTCCATGGAAAGTCAATCTTATCCAACGATCGGATTTCCTCCTCCGTAAGTGACTAATATGGGTGTTTCCCCGCACGCCTTTTTCGTTGATTGCACATCCATTTATAAAGCCTGCTTGAATAATCCACTTTCATGTTCCCGTGTTTCTTGTAAAAATCGACTAGTTCCTCATACTTAAGACGCCATGCTTTACCTTCCGTTCCTCCACGACGTACCCTTCTTTGGAGTCCAAGAAAACCCGATTTCATCTAACAATCGGATTTGCTCCTTCGCCAGTGGCACATGTTGGCCCCTTCTTGGAGCTCTCTTGGTTCGTTGATATGTCATCCATGTATAAAGGCTGCTTGGATAGTCCACGTCCAGGTGCCCGTGTTTCTTGTAAAAGTCGGCAAGCTCTTCGTATTTGTCATTCCATGCTGTCTGACGGCGGCCTACCTTTGTTTGCCACAAGCATGTTGTAGGTCGCTGACCCCTACTGCTTTCATCTTCTGTTCGGAAGAATAGTGCTGGTGCCGAAGGAGCGAGTAGTACTATTGGTGGTTGGTGAAACGCTGAGACTAAATAGTCAAAGTTGGAGGAACACTAATAGCAGAGACAACAAATATGAAACTCTCATCATAACTCTTAACAATTTTGATGATTTTTCTGTCTCTGAACAGAGCACTGGCGCAATCGATCGTCCGCAACAATCTTTCTTTCTTCTAGTCACTACTAGCAAGCTCCAAGTTGCATCATGTGCGTCTTAGGTTCAAGTAATCTGTTGGATAAGCTACACGCGATGTCAATATAAAAAACCATCATAATACTGTAATATATATAGGCCGATGCGATGAAATTGAAAATATATTCATTGCACGTGGAACATATCTATTGGGAAATACCGGTAGGGCAAGACCCTTCACAACGAAGAATATATAAACTATCACAGTACCTGTCACTGCGTTCGGAATACCAAACATTAGTATCAAGTACAGTAGTCCCTCAGCATTTTCTACCATATTTCCCACCAAGAACTTTAACGGAACCCTATGACTGGCGCATATCCCAGGCTGTTGGCTCCAGTACTACTTTGTCCTAAGTGTACGTGGCTGGCCTTTCGTTCCAATAATCAGCCAATAAGAATCGGATTTGCTCATGTCATTCCAGGGGTGCATGAATTCACCATAGCCCTTTTCTGTTTGCTTTAGACATTTCTTGTCAAATGTCCAGTAGCAACCGTACTCTTACCATGCTTCGACCTCAGACGTCCATGCTACGCATCACGTAAACGTCGACGAGCTCCGATTGTCGATACGATCATCACGCTTTGTCATTCGATCCGCCCATGAGAAGTTCAGGTGGAATCAAATTAATCGTTCCACTTGCCGTGTCTTCATGCCTCGTTCGCCCCACCAGAACCTCGAATTCTTGGGGCCCGCCAAGGGAAACAAATTTCATCCAACGGTCGGATTTGTTCATCAGTCAGAGGCAGGCAAGCCCCCTTTCCCGCTCGCCTGTATTGTTGTGTCCGCATCCAAGTGTACAAACTACTTGGTGCCTTCACCTTTAGATTCCCATACGTTTTGTAGAATTCGGCTAGTTCTTGGTATTTCTTTTGCCAGGCAATTTGATGTGGACCTCCTGTCGGAGCCCAGGTGAAGCCAATGCCATCCAATAATCGGATTTGTTCCCTCGTGAGTGGCGCGCCGAACCCCTTTCCAACCCGTTTGCTACGCTGATTCCTCGCCCAATTGTGTAAACTACTTCCATTCTGCACATTCACATGCCCGTGTTCTTTGTAAAAGTCGACGAGTGCCTGATACTTGGTGTGCCAGCCGATCTCGTGAGGAGCCCAGGGAAAATCAATAGTATCCAACAGTCGAATTTGCTTATCAGTGAGCAGTTTATGGTCGCCCTTTCCAAATCGTCGTCGCCTTTGTTTGTTCATCCAGGCAGACAGAGAGCTTTGATATTTGACCGCCTTCGGATGCCCATCTTTCTCATACAAGCGGGCTAGTTCTTGATACTTGACAATCCATCCCCTCTCAAATCTTTCTTTTCTTGGTTCCCATGGAAAGTCGACTTGGTCCAACAATCGGATTTGCTCGTCAGTGAGCGCCGCTTGGGTTTTCCTTCGTCGTTTGGATCGTTGTCTGCTCATCCAAGAATACAGACTGTTGCCATGTTTCACCTCCAGATGCCCATGAATTTTGTAAAAGTCAACGAGCTCTTCGTATTTGGAATTCCATGCTGCCTGTCGGCGATCTACCTTTGTTGTTTGCCACAAGCAAGTTGCAGGTCGATGGCGGATGAGTTCCTCATGAGCTATTGTTCTACCCGATAATGCTACCGAATGGTGAGCAACAATGCTTTTTTGCTGTTGAAATGCCGTCGTCGTAGTGCATACTAGTAGTAGTAGTAGTAGTAGTCCAAGGTGAAGCAGAACTAGTAGCGGCAATAACTGCGCATATCTCATTTTCTTGACTCCAATGATACACGTAAGGAGGTAATGAGTGATAACGTCGATACGGAATAGAAGGGGTTGATTTGATCCAGCGTTGCATAAACCGATCACAACGTAGTGATTGTGATGGGCTTCATATCTGTGCTTGGGATGTGAAATAATATTCTCGTGCGTGGAAAAAATATTATGTGAGGTTTTCCATGTCGGATGGATCGTAATCGCACGATTTTTGCGCGCACACTATGATGTCAGTTGATTTTTACATTCCAATAATCCATCACGCATCTCATCTTGAAGATCGCTATCATAATACGCATCAGATATTAATATCACATCCAACACTGCCTGAACGAATCAATCCCCCTGATTCCAGTTGTAAAATGCTCGACCACAAGATAGTCCCATTTCACTCGCTGCTGATAGCATTGAGCTTGCTGGTTTCTCCAAATCTCACGGCAGCCTTTCAATTCCGACTTCCTCCTCCTCCTGGGGCAGTCACATCCTCGAATCTCCAACAGGACCACACACTTCACAACACTGCCCTGTACGCAGCTTCTTCAAGACAAAAAAGAGTCTCAAGTCTTCAAGAATGGGGAAAGTCTAATGATATTCAGACTAGAGGGGTTGCTATTGAATCAATACCGGGGTCTGGATTGGGCCTTCAGTCCACACAAGAAATCACAGCCGGCAGTTTGGTGGTCACCGTGCCCTCGTCCGCAACACTTTCCGTCACGAGCGGATCTTTGGGAGGACCAGATGACTTTACTGTGGAATCCATGTTCAATGATCGCAAGTCCTTTCGTGTACTGCCGTGGTATGCCCAATTCTCTCTCTATCTCCACAAACTCAACACGATATCCTCGGTCAAGGCAGATGACACGGATCTCAAGCCGTGGCTCGATTCCCTACCTACCACCTTTGATACTCCCATTCGATGGGACAAGAAGCAACGGGACGAATGGCTTCAGTATCAACACATGTCAGAATCTGTAGATCGTCAACAAGAAGGTATGTTTGGAATGTCGGCTACTATGATCATTCTTGGTTTTGCTATTGTTCAATGTCACATATATACACACACATACCTAACCAACCAAATAACCATTCATTCATTCATTCATGTTCTCAACATTTCAAATAACAGCATGGACTGACTTTTACCAAAAGGTCAACGCCGCACTAGATGGTACCATTAGTTGGGATGACTTTTTGTTGGGATGTGAGATTGCTCGTTCCCGAGCCTTTAGTGGCGGATACACTGGTACTATCTTCAATCCTTTGATCTATGCCTTTACATTGGTTCTCGTCACGGTATATGCAGGTTTGGGCCTAGGAACTCTGGAACAAGCTGCCAATGGTGCTGCTCTAGTCTTTTGTGCTTCTGTCTTGAGAGACTTTGTGATCCCCAAACTCTTCAAGACCAAGAAATATGTCATTTGCCGTAAGTGCTTGTTGCTGGTGGTGGTGGTCGTGTCATTATCATGTTTGGTACTTGATTTCTAACTCTTTCAATATTTCTCATTCTTATTTGTGTTCAATATGCAGCAATCATTGACATGGCCAATCACAAATCGGCTGGTGCCACGGCCAATGTGGCGTACGAATTCTTTTCGGATGCCTACAGTCTGAGTGCGACTCCTGCCATTTCTACTGGCAACGAAATCTTCATTTCCTATGGCGAACGCAGCAACGATCAACTTTTGCAGTATTATGGATTTGTCGAGCCCAATAATCCGAATGATATCTATGTCATGCCCCCCATTCGGGAATGGGACATTGGGGCCTTGGAAGAATCCCTTGGAACCCCCTTTGCCCCAGGGCGATTGGGCAAGTTGGAACGAGCTGGTCTGTTGGGTAAGACGGCGTTGGAGGTACAAGCAGATAAGATTAGTGAAGACAGCAGCCGCGAAACTACTAGCGACGATACGGAAGATGCTAACGGCAATCCCCGTGGTGGAGTAGTCTTGACACGAGCTGCTGGAATTGATTTGGCCGTTCTCCAAGCACTTCGAGCATTGGTATCGACCGAGGCCGAATGGCAAGAATCCGGTGAAGCCGTGGGTAACTTTGCCGCCATGGTGAGTACGGAAAATGAAGAGAGGGCTCGACTTGTGGCGAGGACCGCCTTGGAAATGGAACTCCAAGCTAAGCCTACGACCTTGGAAGAAGACGAGGAATTGCTCAAGCGTTCCTCGAGTAGTAGTAGCAGCATTATGGAGGACGAGGAAAGACTCGCGGTCTCATTTCGAATCGAAAAGAAAAAGATTCTCAAGGACTCAATTGCAAGGTTAAAGTAGAGGACAACAATGATAGTACTGTTGTGTTGTTGATCTTATCTTTATCTTTGTCTTTGTCATCATATGACCGCATATACGGTAGTTCAAAGTATGAAGTTAGCCCACTTGTTGCCCCGGATGGTCCACTGCCCAATCCCCCTTCAACAGAGAGTTCAATCATCGTCCTCAATAAGGTATTCTTCTAACATAATGCCTCCGCCATTTCATTCGTGGCAACTTGTACAAATCTATCAAGTCACGCGATTGAATAAACTCATTGACTCTTTCTCTTATGGTAACTATAATTTTTATGGTAACCATAAGAGCTGGAACAAATACCTTAACATTGCGAAAAATGATAGGGAGACAATGGTGACACCAGCAATGATTAGAATCCTCATTGGGCTAGTCTCTGGTAATTCCTTTTCAATTTCTTCTTGATGGTCGATGTGTTTGCCATAATTCTTTTTCTTCTTCTTCTTCTTCATCATCTTTTTGGGATTCCCACCTGCAATGTTTCCTTTTCGATTCAGCTTGAGATCTTCTCCCTTTCGTCCCCATCGTGGTCGATGCCGTGCAATGGCACCACCCGATTTGATGGCCAGTTCACCATTTTCGACTCGTTTTCTCCAAGCGGAATGACCTCCCATGTTAAGAATTTAAATTATCTGTGGTTCATAATATCTAAAGCAAAAAGTGGAAATAGCATGGAGGAGTGATTCTGACGGAGGATCTCACAGTCCATTGCGATACTGTATGATTTTGATGCACCGCCTGCTGAATAATTTTTAGGTGAATTTTCACAGACGGTCTATTCAGAATATCCGGGTTTAGTCTTTTTGGTTTTCTCTAAGTAAAAGATTGCTCCAATCAAAATTCGTTGAGTCCAAATCTATAAATAGAGCAGGGGAGTCACAATGTCGCAACCCTTAACTAAAACGGGCGGAAGATCGTAAATCCTGCATCCAACTGCACCAGCACACAAAACACACCGCTGCCCGATCCCATCGTGCCACAAAACACAAACGGATCACGTATTGGTTCAACAGGAGTTGTGAGACGATAGTATCACTGTATTCCAGCGCTTGCCTTTCAACAACGATCGTTCATAGACTCTCGATAGATCAATATGCCTACCGACGAGGCTCCCACCCTTCGAAGACGAGCATCCTCCGGTGCCTCTGCCTCGAGCAGCAATAACGATGCCAGCACTAGTGTGGCATCCAGTCGCCCAAAGCGACGTTCTCGTGGATTGCCAATGGGCTCTACGACTCCACCACGACGAAGAAGCAGTCGGGACAACGCCCCGCCAAAGGTGGAAACACCTCCCGAATACAAGAAACCTGCTGCTGCTGCTTCTCAGAAACCTGCCGTTGACACCAAGAAAACCACCTCATCTAGAAGCAGCACACGATCGTCCCGACGATCCTCGGCTCGCAACAAGACCTCTCCCAAATCGAGTCCTCAGCAACCACAACAACCAGAATTCAAGATTACGCAGGAAGATCCTGGATCATTGTTAGCAGCAGTCATCAAGAAAAAGTCTGTTACGGTTCAATTGAAACTCAATGATGAAGTTTACAATTTCGATTCATCATCGCCGTTGAAACAGGAAGAAGAAGTACCACAAGAATCGACGACGCGCATCAAAACGGAACCATTCGAAGATGCTGAGTCTTCACCAAAAGAAGAAGAATTATCCACACCATCCTCCAGCAAGACGAATGGAAAGGAAGGAGGAGAAGACGGATCATCTTTTACAACTCCCAGGGCCAGCAAACGCCAGAAACTAAATAAGGACTCCCCCAAAGAAATGGTTGAAAAAGAAGACAATGGGAGCGGCCAAGAACCAAAAGACCAAGCGGAAGAAGAACAAGAATCTCCAAGACGCCGCAGCAAACGATCCGCTTCCATTGCATCGGTTTCGGAATCAATGAAATCGTCTCCCGATAAAGAAGATCAAGACGACGACGATAATAGTATGGACGAAGAAGACGATAGTGGGCAAGATAATGGGGAAGAAGGAGACGACGATGATGATAATATGGAGGAAGATGATGATCAGGAAGATGATCAGGAAGACGGGGACGAAGATGATGAAGACGGGGACGAAGCTGACCAAGAAGACGATGACGACGACGACGACAACGACGACAAGGAAGGAGAAGAGGACCAAGTAGGAGAAGAGGACGAAGAATCAAAGAACTCCAAGGATTTAGCCAAACGATCCAGTCCTCGGATTATCAAAAAGACAAAATCTGTCACAAACCGCAGAAGAGCGTCCTTGCCAACTTCCTCTCGATCACCATCTTCGAGAATTGAAACGGCCAAACGAAAGAAGAAAAAGAAGAAGGAAAAGGAAACGGAATCGGAAGAAAGCAGGGCCAAACAAAAGTCCAGCCGCACCAAGAAATCACCGAAAAGTTCGCCATCTTCTAGTAAAGGAAGCAGCAGCAGCAAGTCTAATAGACCAAACTCTCCAGTGTCACGTTCCTCTCCTTCCAAACATCACCATCGACAGGTCATGAATTATGGGGCCAATGCAACTCCTGCCTTTTACTTTTTTCTCGCCGAGAATCGATCCAAATTGGAGCGTTCGTTGAGTCGCAGACATCGATACTTTACCAGACTGCCAAAGGGATACGAACGAAACGAACTTGTGGCCAAAGAAGCTGCTGCATGGTGGCTCAAATTGAAGGATTCCGAAATGCGTCGATTTATGAACCTGTCCATGAGAGACATGGAAGAACGCATCACGGAATGGAAGGAAGCCAAGAATATTCAAAACATGACGGCTCAAAACGATCTGGCGGCCTACGAAGATCCATCTGAATTAACACCTGAGGATGAGCTGATGACTTTTGAACGGCACAATCGCCTTTTTTTGGGAACCACGGTGGGTTGCAAACCCTACAAACCCGAATCTGGAGTCAGCCACAATAGGATCTTGCTAGAACTCTTGCAAGACATGAGATTCCATCCGGCTCCCATGTTCATTCCAAATCGAGACGAGGTGGAATATGGTCAAATGGATTTTTCTCGAGTTTCCATTCCCTATTTTGATGTGCATGGGCCTGTCTCGACTAGTATGGGAGATGACTGTCTGGGGTGCACTCGAGGATGGGCACACTATTGCAATGTCCTCAAGCGAAAGGTACCAGCAGTGGATCATCGGGCTCGATTGCAGCCGCCGCTTAGTTCTGTCATTGCTACACGAGTCGGCTTGGGCCTCCAACCAAAACCACAGACCGCCCTGGAGGTGGAAGGGGCGACTCCTGAAAGTGTCAAGAATCTGGAAATGCTCACGGTCCATGAAAATGCCGAAGCAAAGAAAGCAAGATGTCTGCCATGCTACCACTTTGAAACTCTGTCGAATCCTGCAGATCGGTCGGATGATATCGTCCGATTCATTGAAGAGACGGTTGCCATGAAGGTATCCGAGCCAACCAGACCTACGGATCCCTCCCGACCTGAAATTGGCAAAAAGGGCGCGAGTCGTGCTGCTCTTCCACTGAGCCGAAAGAGGAGTCAAGACGAGATGCACGGTGGTGGTGCCCAGGAAAGCGTCTTTAACAAGTGTGGTCGATGCCGAACCGTGATTCAAACTGATACTGGATGCATTCAATGCCGCCGAGCCCAGCTGGTGATCAATCTCTCCAAGAAAGATAGTGGAGATCACAGAATGGAAAATGAGTCAGGAAACTATCTCAAGGTTTCTACGCAAATGCTTGGGAGATTGACAATGAAAGAAGGTGCCATGGATTACCAGTCTCCAGGAGATGTGGCCATTGCCCAAGGAATTCTTCGACAACGCTGGACGCCATTTGCAGTCTTACCGCCGCAGCCAATCGAATTCCCAAAGCCCAAGCAAAAGCGTACGCGAAGACAACCAGTCGAGGTCGAAGACAGCGAGGCTGATTCTTCGGATCCAGGCGAATCCATGCAAAGTGACAAGGTCTCAGTGGAAGACGAAAAGTCTGATGGCACGGACGACAAAATGGACGACAGTAGCCACGACGAAATGATGGAAGGCACGAGAACAAGACGTAATCGAGCTAGCTCACAAGGTGGAGGAGATTCTGATACCCAAGAAGAGACGATTGATCGTCAGCTAATGGCTCAGAAAATGAAGGACGAAGCCAGTGAATTGAACAAAAAGTGTGTTCAAACAGCATGCTTCGGAATTCTGCTTGGGCTAATGAGAAGAGACCCTCTCCTCTTGTTTGCTTCTCCAGTAAGTGCGGAGGGCTACTCGACCATTATCAAGAACCCAATTGATTTTGGAAAGATCAAGGCCAACGTATTGGCGGAGAATTACAACACACTGGGGTCTTTTGTTTCGGATGCAAAGTTACTCTGCACGAATGCTCTTATTTACAACCCTCCTGGATCAATCTATTGGAAGACAGCTAAGGAGTTACAAGACGTCTTGGGAGAAATGCAAAAGAGGGCAAGTGAATGGATTAGAGAAATCAAAGATTGCCACGCGAATGCTTGGAGGAATGGTTCTAAAGTCAAGGTTGGCATTGACGAATCTGACCTTTATGTAGAAGACGTATTTGAAGATCTTCGAACCAAATGGCCCCAAGCCGTAGAAATGCTGGATGACAGAGATCGGCTTCGCCAACAATTGGAATCGGACTTTATGAGAACCAAGGAAAACGAAACAGCCTACTACGGCGGACTTGCCATTCGTCGAGCCGCAATCGCAGCTGATGCTTCGCTAGCACCGTACCCAGATCAAGCTGGTATCTTCAACCCAGTCGGAAGAAGAAGTCACGTCGAAGACGAAAATTTGCGAAATATGATTAGTGAACGAGTTGCCGAGGCTGTTGATCCTGTACAGCTCAAGGACATTCCGATGTGGAGGGAAGAATCCATTATGCGCCTCCTCCGGCGTTCACAGAGCCGTCGATTGGACGGACTCATTGGCTCTGTGAATGGATGCGCTCGTTGTGATGGAATGAGAATCGACCAAGATTTGAAAACTGCAATGACCGCCGAAACCATTCGCTGGGGGCGTCAGAAGAAGAAGAACAGTGAGGTATCTCGAGTCGTAGAATCTCGCATGCATCTCAGCACTGGTAATGCCAGCCAGAAGGCTGTCGAAGAGATCAAGAAGCGACAGGAGTTAGCCTCGGAAAGTGAATACAATTCAAGCCATGTCACCACCGCGGGAGCAGTGACGGTTAAGGGTAGCGGGATTCATGGTTGGGGTCTCTTTGCAGACCAGCCATTTAAAGCTGGCGAGGTTGTGGCGGAGTATATTGGGGAGTACGTCAGCCCTGCAACCACCGAGGCGAGAGAAAGAATGTACCAAGAGCAGAGGATCCAGGATTATCAGTTCCGGATTGACGATCATCTAGTGATTGATGCTACAATGAAAGGTGGCCATGGTCGATACATCAATCACAGCTGTAGTCCAAACTGTATTGCCAAGATTATTCGAGGGGAGACGCCGAACGAACATTTGAAACGAGTGCTCATTATAGCTCAGCGGGACATTGATGCAATGGAAGAGCTATCCTACGATTATCAGTTCCCATTGGAACTTGACTTGAAGGCTCGAATTGCTTGCAACTGTCACTCGGAGCAATGCCGTGGCTTTATGAACTGGGACTTACCAGAGAAAGGATCCAATAGCCGTGTCTTCCGATCACAGAAACGAGGTGCGAACATGAGAGATCGTATTCGACGATTGGGCCGACCTCTGAAGGGAGACAAGTAGAAGGTTGGTTCAAAATAGTACTGTATAGTGATGCTAACTAGCCTACTATAGAAATGGATGGATGAAGTTAATTTTCATAATTTTCAAGCATAAAATGCTAGACCTATAGGTATACCGGTACCTAGCGACATGTAAACAGGTGGAATGTCCGACAGATTGATTCTTACTTCGACTTGTAGTCGGAGGAGTCCAACATGATTTCGTCAGCAAACCACGCAACAATCGAATAAGTAACAATATCAATATAAGAGCATATATACGTAGCCTAATAATATTCCTACTGCACGAAACCTTTTCCTCCATGAGTCCACGACATTCTTCGTTCCGTCGAAGTAGTGATGATCATCGTTCCCCGGAAAAAGGCAATGACGGCGCCGAAGACGGTCCTCGCAAACGGCAGCGTCAACGAGCCAAGCCTGTCTTTGTGGGTGACATTCGGGTTCCGTTTGGGGTTGTTGTGGGCTTTATGAATTCTGTCATGCGGAATCATAACTTTACTAGGAAGAGTAGTAGGGGTAGAAGGAGAGAGGATTATGACGGCGATGAAGTTCATGTTGGTGACGCTATTATTGGTTTTGAACGGTCCGGAGAAAGCTGTTGGCGTTTGGAACCTGCCACGGATGCTTTGGCAGACAAGTTGTGTTACCTCAATCGAATCCGTTTCAAGAATACCATTCTTCGGGTTAATCTCAGCGGTCGCAGGCAAAATCCAAGGTTTGGCTGTTGGAATGATTATTATTATCATCGATATGGAAAAAATGATGACAAGGTAGATGCAGAAGTACTTGCCCACCTGAAACATCCTATGGACGGAATGCAGCTATTTGATATACTTAATGAAAAGATGAACTTTTACAAGCTTTCCAATGGTGAGGGCAACTCGATCAAAGGTATCCGGGGCATGGTTTCTATCAAGTCTTTTGTATTGACGATGAGATCTCCAGAAGAAGCAGAGCGGATCTGCTACCTTTCCGGGATTCAGGTGGGGAGCACCAGTGTTTTTCTGGAACGACCGTATGATTGGATCGGACCTACACCTCTCTATCCTAACTACCTCGAATTTCTGAGAGCGAGATCGGACGCGGAGGCTACAAAGCGGAAACAAACACAGGCAAATACCAAAGAATCGCCACTGAAAGCTAGGGCAAGGACTGCAAGGCCCACTCCTTCAGCTAGTACTGAAACTATTGAATTGCTGGATGACAGTGACGATGAAGTAGAGATAGTAGAAGAACATGAAGAAGCAAAGAAACTCGAAAAAGAGAACCAGCATCTTCGCAGTGTGTTGAAAGCATTGACTCATTCCAATGCTTCCAAAGGCGAAGAAGTATCATCCCTTCAATCACAACTCGATCAGCTGCAAGCGCAACTCTTGGAAAAGGAAGCGGAAGCGTCCGCATTACGACAGTATGAGTGTACTCTGAAGAGCGACATTGCCAGTACTGAGGAAAAAGTGGAGGCAATTCATGAGAGCTGGCAGGCCCAAGCTATGCTTCTTGCCGAAAAGCAACAGGAAATTGATCTGGTTGGCGGGCAGCTTGCCCAGCTTCAAAAGGATGCTCAGAATGTGCGAGAATCTCTCTTGGACGAACAAAGGGAGCGTGAAGAATTGGAAGACGTCTTGGCACGCTTTCAACCCCATGTGGCAATCAAGAAACAAGAAGATGAAGAAATGGGGACGAACGGCCAAAGCGGCAAGGTTACTGTTGCCGCCAGTGATGATGCCTTTGATGTGTAATATTATCGTACCTGGTACCAGCGCGTTCCATCACTTGAGACAGATTTAAAAGAGGAGAAAGCTTCTGTAGCAATCTGCTGCTAGCGCTTCATGCGCTCATAGCTTGGAGCAAGATGGGTTCCAATGATGAGAACCACACTGTTGCAAAGAAGCCACGTGTGTAAGGTCAGGTGGCATGCATAACATAACTTCTTGTCAAGAGAAGCGGCACCTCTGTACGATGAGATCCATGATTCATTCTCCTGGGGATCCTTCATGCTAGAATACGGTATGTTGGGAACAAACAACGGGCAAACAAAATGCTAACTCGCATTCAGAACTTTTGAAAGTCCGACACCATTCTAGTTCCCGCCAGCACCTGGTACCGTACCGTAATCGAGACGAATGATTCACTGACTCATCCAGTTGGGGACTGTACACGAATGATTGACTCGCTTGGGGATCACACCTGCACAAATGGCGCCAGCGGAATCGCTTCTCCTCCAGCTGACGCGTAGATGAAACGTTGTCTTCTTCCTGCCTACGCCATTCTTCTTCTTGCCAGCACCAGTTACTACCGAAGAAGAGATCGATGATTCATTCTTTTCGGGACCACACACGAATGATTGACGCTGTTTATGGATCAGATGGATCAGACACAAGCACCTCCTTGAAGTTTGCTTTCAAAATGCCCAGCAGCTTACCCATTCATCAAACGCCTTTTCAGCGGAGAACCAGACATCTCGGAGTCTTCTGTTCATGCATCCTACAAAATTCTTGTCAACTGTGGATTCGGCTTTCAGAAATCGACTCTGGTGGGGATCACACATTATATAACAACACCAGTTCCTTTGCGTCTTGAGTGTCGTTCGATGATTAATTGAAATCATTTTATACCCCGCCATGAACGGAGAATAAAGGTGTCTGTGAGCAGACACAATAACATTTGGTTGGTCGTGCAATTTTCTTGGAAGCACACGTACGTGTATAGGTATGTTACGGGTTCTGGAACTTTCAATAAAAGTGCCGTAAATTAGTTGGAAGACGGATACACGTACCACCGGCGAAACCCTCTTAACTTATACTGGAAGTGCTGGAGGCACAGTAGCTTGTCCAAGCCTTCACGATTTCTCAAGTCCTTCGCTTCATCATCCATGTATTTGGTCGATGAAACGATGCCCATCAACTAACCAACGACCAAATAGCTACAACCATGATAGTAGTACAAAAGTGCGTTTTTAATCGTTACAAAACTATTTCAAAATTTTGAATGGTTTTCCTCAGGCAGCTGGTGACGAAGACACGCCGTTTGCCAACAGTGTGTTAGATAGCATGCCGTGGAACTCGTCAACCGCGAAGACTCGTCCAGCAGTGTTTTCCGATGAATGCAATAGGTGTACTAAGAATCGTAGTCTTTCACTCGCTTGCATCACCAGTCCCTTCTCAAACTCGATCTGAGCCAAGTTGTTCGTGGCTGCAAGTGCAATGAGGGTCACCGTATCGTTGGACCGTGGAAGCCCCACAATGAGCTGAAGGCTTGTTTGATAAAGCTGCTCTGCTCGATGCATGGATGCCGATATTCCAGTCTTGATCGACTTTTGGTGATGCAGAATGGCCGTGTTAAACAAGATTCCAGCACAGTAGATATTCATGGAGTGCAGACGATGCTCCGCACCAACAAATGAGGGAGCTTCTTGCAAAACTAATGCGTTTTGATACACAAAGAACTTCTCTCGCATGGGGAGTGTGCTGGGTGTTGCAGTAGAAGTATGAAAGCATTCGTGCTGAGGCAAAGTATTTCTGGCGTGGTGGTTCACGCCACTTTCTTGACGAGGAGCAGTACGCTTCAAAAACTCCTTGATAAGGAAAAGTGACTCGTAGTATGTCTTAGCAGCCCCGCCCATATCATTGGATTGGTACAGTGCCACTGCTTTGTTGTTAAGGTTCAAAGTGTCTTGTAACGAGATCATGATAATCTGAGGGAGAAAGAAAAAGTAAGACTGTTCGTGGAAATATGTCCAAAAAATGATCTGTTGCAATTCAAGAGATTTTATCAGGGCGAACTTGAACTCCCTCAAACGACGAATACTTCGCACCGCTTTCAAAGTAATTCGAAGTGTTTTGGTACCTGGTACCGGTACCCTTAAATGAAACGACATTTTCTGACCTTCCGAATGGAAACTTTTAAAATCCTTTGATTGGAAGGCAACGGAACTGTGCCTGAAGTTCGAGTGCTGACGTAGCATGCAGCTTGATTGGCAACAAGACAGGAGACATTTTTGAGCGTCGACTTCAATCATGACGACCAGCTACGACACTCAAGAAACTGGATACGTTGAAGACAAAACAACATATTCAATAGATAATCTAGCTAGAACCTTGAACAATCATTTTCTTACATCGTATGTTTCCATCACCTCATGTACTGCTAGATCCCACATTCTTCTTCATGGCACGAGCTAGTATACCCTACGACTACTAGAAGAGGTGGCCACTCAACAAACGGAGGAACTGGCGGTCAAAGAAAAGCAGGTTCACGGATCAGATCGCAAGTGGTATGGAATGTTTCTAATTTGCTTATTCCATGCTTCATGATCCAGCAAGACCACCCAATCTACCGGTATGCCATATCACCGGTAGCAGCTACCACTACAGTGTGTATCGGTACGATTCAAACAAGGATAGAGTTGATTGATTCATTCAAATACTCTCATGTTGAATATCCCCTGAAACTCTCCCCTAATATATTTTAGATTTGCTTTTTGCGCACGGCGCACGTGTTCCAGTAATAAAATATACCGGTACGAGTACATACTGTACAGAAAACTCATCTGAAAACCCATAAACCCATTTTTTAAAAATTTGTTTCGAGTCAAATCTCTTTGGAGCAATCTGATTGGTTGAAAGTGGAATCTCGTTGTCTCAATATGCGTTTTTGCGGAGATATGGGTAGGGGTACACGTGTACAGTACCAGGTACAGTATGAATATGCCAATAATATACTGTAGCATTGGGCTGCAAGACATGATGACCATTCATCTTCCAGAGTCCAAAGCCAAGCAAGAAGGCTTGAGGTGTTGGATAATCCGAAGCGGGGTACTGCTCTGTTCTCTTCTGTTGGCGTCGACGTCGCTGTTGAGTAACAACCTCCTCATTCGTGCATCTAAAACGTTCGTAGCATCATCATCATCCTCATCATCTTCAACATCTATCCATCGAGATTCGCAACGAATGGTGTCTCCAGAATGGCTCACATTCGACCAGCTCTCTGAAAGAGGCACCAACACTACTTGGAACCGAGCAACAGGAATGGCAGATGGAGACAAAAGAGGATTGATGGCTCGTCCACCCTTCCCAAACGAAAGCGAATGGCTGTTGTCGCCCAGTGTCTACCACAACAGTCATCAAGATGGTCAACTCATCCCCAAACTACTGCACAAGGTTCTGCTATCAACGAAAGGAGACTTTACAAAATTCACATATGACATGATGACAAATGAAACCATCCAGAATTTGACCAACCCATTGAACTTGGATGGTATCAATCGCTTGGCGTGGGCCCATAGAAGCTGGAAAGTCTTCAACCCTGGCTACGAGATCCGATACTTCAATCTGCACCACTGCCGGACGTATCTTGCTCGGAACTTTCATCCCCTCATGTTGCGAGCATTCGATTGCATCGAGGCGTTTGCTGGGAAAGCTGATTTGTTTCGATATTTAGTAGTTTACCGGGAGGGTGGTTTCTACAGTGACTGGAAACAAGAGTGTATGGTGGATGGTCTGCTGGATCGTGTTGCTGCAACCAACGTCACCTTTGTTGCTGCTACGGACAGCGGACTTCCTAGAGGGTGGAAATCAATGCAAAATTCCTTCATTGGTGCAACACCGAGACACCCGGTCCTCATCAAAACGATCGAAATCCTTTTGCGGAACATCCAAAGTCGGAGCGACCTCAATCAATCCCTGACAACCCATAACTCTGCATATGAAATGACATCGACCATTCCCTTGGGGAGAGCATTTGAGGCTATCAGCCCCCCACTAGACAAGCCAGGTGGGGCTCGACTTATTGACTTCAAGGCGAATTATGGTCTTCGGTTCTTCTGGGGTGAGGACATTGTGATTGTGCACAAATGCTACGGCTGTGGAGGAGATCAGAACTGGGCTGATGGGAACAACTATCTTCACAAGTATGAAATTGGTGAATTCTTTTGCCCAGATGCACCGTCACTGTTTCAAGACTGATAGACAACGACGACAACAACGACAACAACGACAACGCCTATCATACCATTGGAAGTAGCGTTTCTTCGAGTTTGTGGTTCACTCGAACCAGCAACGACAAAAGGCTCCAGCAACTGCAATGTACATTGATTGCGAAGGTTCGTATGAGGGCCTTCTTAGACGAGATGGATGGTGTTCAGCATCCTTCTTGGAAGTGTGCTAGCAGCTGCCACTGCCAAGCACCCTTTAAAGTGACACAATGCTGTTGTCGGAGGAAATGATTCGTGCGGTGACTGTGGGAAAAGGAAGGAGGAGTGTGGATAATAATCAAAATTCAGTATTCACATACGGTATCATCATCACGAAAACGTCAGCGTTCGACTATAACGTGATTCAACAATCACAGTATACTGTAGGGTCATTGACTCCGTCCCGATCACAATACTGTACCTTACCGTAATGACTCTAACTTTGTTTGATGAATGGATTAACCCTAGAACTCATTATCTTGAAGAAAAGAAACGTTAAATACAGACCGCATGAACGAAGAATGTGTTTTAAAAATATTGTACTTTTTCGGTGCGCGTCGTGCTTATAGAGTACCCGGTATCCTCGTTCTTCAACCCTCACGATTTCTCAAGCCCTTCGCGATTCAACATGCAGGTATTAGGTAGTCGATGAATTCAAATGATGCCCAACCACAACCGACGACCTTTAGTATCCATAACCATGACAGTGCTCTAAAAAAGTGTTTTTTTGTATAGTTACTAAGATATTCCAAAATTAAAAACCTTTAGGCAGCTGGTGACGAAGACACGCCGTTTGCCAACAGTGTGTTAGATAGCATGCCGTGGAACTCGTCAACCGTGACGACTCGTCCAGCTGTACTTTCCAATGAGCACAATAGATGTACTAGGAATCGTAGTCTCTCACTCGCTTGCATCACCAGTCCTTTCTCAAACTCGATCTGAGCCAAGTTGTTTGTGGCTGCAAGTGCAATGAGGGTCACCGTATCGTTGGACCGTGGAAGCCCCACAATGAGCTGAAGGCTTGCTTGATAAAGCTGCTCTGCTCGATGCATGGATGCCGATATTCCAGTCTCGATCGACTTTTGGTGATGCAGAATGGCCGTCTTAAACAAGATTCCAGCACAGTAGATATTCATGGATTGCACACGATGCTCCGACCAACAAATGAGGGAGCTTCTTGCAAAACTATATAATGCGCTTTGATACACAAAGAACTTCTCTTGCATGGGGGTATTGATGGATGTCTCAGTAGAAGTATGAAAGCATTCATGCTGAGGCAAAGTATTCATTCTGTTAGAGGAACCATTGCAACGCGTTTCGACAAACATTGAAAACAAGTGTGATGATCACATTTGTTTCCACTTGTCGTTTTTAGGATTCCATATCCTTTGATCGGTGGAAGCAATTTGTTGCACAAGCAGCATAGCATGAGGTCCTGCTATTTGGAAACCCTGGTATGCTGGAGACAAAAGAGGATGGATCATCTTGTTTGTTTTGAATCGAATTTGTTGGAGGATGATAGGATGCGTGGTTATACTGCGTGTTTTTTTTATTAAAAACATGATTCGTTCAGTAAGGCATTTTTGTGACTGCGTTATCATTTTTGGTGGGGAAATTCACGTACAAAAACAATGTGTAGATCCAAGGAGCCTGGGATATGCCGCATATCTGATTAGAGATTGGAGGCAGGCCGGCTTGATCACCCTTTCTGCAGGGGGGTTGGTGATTCAACATCTTCCGTCGTCATGGAATTCAATCATTGTTTAACACTTCATGGTCTTGGTGGTGTTTTCAATACTCCTGTCTATACTTAAAAACATTCGTTAAGTGAGACATGATGAAAATCGTCCGCAATTACCGTTACAATTGTACTCAATCAAGCACATTATATTTACCAAAAGACACCGGCACGGTCAGTCTGACCTCCACCTCCAACACAACGACTACACCCGGCTTGCTCGCAGAAATACTGCTCGCAGAAACAGCGAAGACAAAATATTACACACATCACACATCACCACATAAAAAACATCACCACCAGAACGCACTGTTGCTGTCCTTTTGTTTTGTGTTGTTCGAACCCAACCCGTGAACAAGCTGAATCTTCCTTCTTCTTTCATTAGTACTAGCCAGTGGCACTTCCAATTCCTCAGAGACGGGTTCTTCCTTCATCCGCTTCTGCATACTGAGCTTTTTACATATCT